TAAGCAAAAAAAAAAAAAGGTCTTTGGAATCATCAATAAATTTTAGAAGTGAAAAAGAGTTCTAGGACCAAAGAGTTTAAGAATTACTGATTTGGTCTATGATCTTGGTTCCTCTAAGCAGGGTTATGTCTGTCTTTCTCCATCATGTGGTTATTCTGTTATTGAATGAATATTTTTAAGACCTACAGAAAAGTGATTGCATATTCTTTAGTTACCATTTTGCACTGCTTTTATAATTCAGCTATTTTACATTATAACTTAAGCCTTAAATTTAGGTATTTGTTATTTTTCTTTCCTGAATTATTTAGAGAACTAAACCAAAAACACTGCCATCAAGTTGAACCTAACTATACTGACCCTGTTTCCAAGGCTGTAAACCTTTATGGGAGCGGAAAGCCTCATCTAGTGGGTACCTGCAACTGCTGACCTTGTTTGTGTTTAGCAGTCCAAGGCCTAACCAACAGCACTACCAGGGATCCTCATTTACAGAACAGTGGCTCATAATTTCTTTATATATGAATAGGCAAAGATAGACATAGCTTGTGAGGGATCTGGTTGCCATAAAGTAAAAGATGCATTTGGAATATGGTCTTGAAGTCCCCCCATCCCCACCCCATTTCCTTTAGCTTTCATGGTACCTGCAAGAGCTGGCATCATTTTCTTCACTTCTTAGGCAAAATAATACAGTAAAGAAGGAGTTTATAGGTCAGTAGGACCATATACTTACATATCTCTCTAATGTATGTTTATCATATGCCTCACCTTGCTGCTGCTTTTATAGAAAATTGAATGTGTACTTGTGTGGCTCTGTAAATACTGATAACCACAAATCAAGAGATTCAAACCCACCATCCACTCCCTGGAAACTCTATACAGGGTAGCTATGAATCAGAACTGACTTAACAACAACAATGACAAAATTAATAAAACCAAAAATCTATTGGCGTGGGTTTGATTCTGACTTCTAGCGACACTATAGAACCTAGTGGAACTGCCTACCACACAGGGTTTCCAAGGCGGTCATCTTTATGGGAGGAGCCCTGGTACCACAGCTGTGAACCAAAAAGTCAGCAGTTCAAAGCCACAATTCGCTCCTATGAGAATGATGTGGCCATCTGCCTCTGTAAAGATTTATAGCCTTGAAATCCTCTGGAACAGTTCTATTCTGTTATATAGATAGTAGAACAAAGGCAGCAAGGGTCATCTCACAGAAGTAGAGCAGCTGGTACGTTCCAACTGCTAACTTTTCGGTGAGCAGCTGAGTGCTTAACCACTGTACCACCAAATAGTTAATGCTTAATGTAGCAAAAAACAAAACCCAAAAAAAACCCCATGGACTTTGTAGTCTGTCTCTTCTAGTTTGGCTCCATAACTCATTAATTGTATCACCTTATTAAAGTCATGTAACTTGTTTTCATCTGTCATGTGGGGACTATAAACCTTATTCTCCATATTTTACAAAATGACTTTGTTTTGCTTCTTTGGAAATTCTGTTTTGGTGTATGTAAAAGATAAAATCTTCATTAGATCCATGTCAGTGGTATAAAACATTAATGTTAAGGTCTGTAGCTTTGAGGATTCGTTAAAATAGAGTTTTTAATTATAGATTTCTATTTCTTGAGTTATATATCAGAAGTTATTAAGTTCTTTTGAGTCAATTGACATGCAGGGCCCTTCATTGCTCTCTCCCTCCTTATCTTACATTTAAACACCAGAAGGTCAGGAACTTAGTTGGTTGTATTCACACTGTGCCTGGTCCTAGAGTAAACCAAACCAAACCAAATCCTCTGCCATCACATGGATCCTAACTCATAGTGGTTCTCTATAGGGTTCTGTAAATCTTTCTCCCACAGAGGAACTTGTCAGTTTGAGCCACTAAGTTTTCAGTTGGCAGACCAATGGCTAATCTACAGTGCCACCAGGACTCATTAACTCCTAAAATAGTAGCTTACATAACAACCTGCCATATGCAGATGATACAACCTTGCTTGCTGAAAGTGAAGAGGACTTAAAACATTTACTGATGAAGATCAAAGAGCACAGCTTTTGGTATGGATTACATCTCAATGTAAAGAAAACAAAAATCCACACCACTGGACCAATAAACAGCATTCTTATCAATGGAGAAAAGATTGAAGTTGTCAAGTACTTCATTCTTCTTGGATCAACTATCAACACTCATGGAAGCAGCAGTCCAGAAATCAGATGACATATTGCATTAGGCAAATCTGCTGCACAAGACCTTTTTAAAGTGTTGAAGAGCAAAGATGTCATATTGAAGACTAAGGTGCGCCTGACCCAAACCATGGTATTTTCAATACCTCATATGTATGTGAAAGTTGGACAGTGAATAAGGAAGACTGTAGAAGAATTGATGCCTTTGAGTTATGGTGTTGGAAGAGAATATTGAAGGTGCCATGGGCTGCCAAAACAATAGATCCATTTGGGAAGAAGTGCAGCCAGAGTGCTCCTTGGAGGCCAAGATGGCCAAACATCGTCTCACATACTTCGGACATATTGTCAGGAGGGACCACTTGCTGTAGAAGGATATCATGTTTGGTAAGGTGGAGGGTCAGAGAAAAAGAAGAAGACCCCCAGCGAGATGGATTGTCCAAGTGGCAGCATCAGTGGACTTAAGCGTGGCAACAATAGTGAGGTTGGCCCAGGATCGGGCAGTATTTCGTTCTGCTGTGCATAAGGTCGCTATGAGTTGGTGCCGACTCCATGGCACCTAACAACAAACAACAACAAATAATGGGTACCTAGTCCTGGTGTGGAGTCCTGGTGTGGCACTGTGGGTTAATGTGCCAGACTGCAAAGCTATTTGAACTGCAAGGTCGGCAGTTCAAGCTCACCAGTCACTCCTCAGAAATCCTATACACGGTTGCTATGGGTCAGAACCGACTTGATAGCACTTACCACCACCAACAACAACAGTCCTGGTATGGTGCTGTGGGATAATGCACTGGACTGTAAGGTTGGTTTGAACCAGAGGGTTGGTGGTTTAAACTCACCAGCCACTCATAGAAAACCCTATATAAGGTCATTTGGAGTTAGAGCCGACTCAGCAGCACTTAACAACAACAAAAACAGCAAATACAAGTATTTGTTGAATGAAAGAGAAGATTCAAGAAGAGCTGAAGGTGTATGTATATGTTAGTGACTGGGAAAAAAAGGGTGTTATTGCAAGAAATTGATGCCTGGAAGAAGCCCATGGCATTTCAGAGAAGATCAGTTCTTGAATAAGGGGCCTGGAAGAAGTTACAGATGAGATGGGAAGTCAACATTAGGTGATAGAACATTAGGAGACATTCCAAATACATATAGTGAAAAATTTTTGAGAAAAACCATCTCATTTAGGCTCTAATAATACTCTACAAAATGTATTCACAGAAACCACTAAAAGATGAAAGCCTTTCAGAGTAGATGAAATTGGTGGAAGAAGAGAATGTGCATGGCAATGGAGTCAGTCATGGAAGTGTGCTCTCAGTAAGAAGGTGGATAGTGGAGCCATCATCATGAGTAACAGAGACACAGGGCTGAGAGAACTAACGAGTCCTGGTGTGGCACTCTGGTTAATGCACTGGACTGCAACGTCAGTGTCAACC